GCCAGTCCCTGAACCCCGGGTGAATCGGGACGTGCCAATAAGCGTCCCGAAAGTCTAGGGACACCATCCAAGAGCCCGGCGCCAACAGGAGCCGAACCTGGGAAAGCATAGTCATCCGAAAGGAGGAGCAATGAACCCTGGGATTCAGACAGGACAAGTCCAGAATGAACCTCAGGTCCGCACAGTCCTGTTTCGGTACTGGGAACAGACGGGAAACCCATCTGAGAGAAGTCGTTGTTTCGAGTACAGGCAAGCGCACCCACTCCAAGACGACCTGACAGCGCAGGGTAAGAGGCCTGCCACGCCAGCCCTGAACCCACCGAAGCCACCCAGGCCGAAGGAAACGACTCAAAACGCCCACAAATCATGGGACCAGGTGTGAGAAAACAGCGCTAGCCTCCTCCCATCGCCCCGTCAACGGGGTGAACCGCGAAAAGGCTGGCACCCCTTACGAGACCCAGAACCTCGCACAGAGCGAACACCACGCCGACCAGACGAAGATGGGACCGAAAGCGGGGCCAGACTCGAACCTGGCACCAGTGGTCTACCATGACAAGCAAAACCCTGAGCCCTGGCACGACCCCTCCTCCAGGGAAGGCCCCCCCCCCCCACGGGACCCCCGGAGAACCAACAAGTCAGACATAGGACGACAAATAGCGGAAGCAGCCTGTATATACCGTGCCACGCCCGAATCCTCAAAAAAGCAGAGGACAAAAAGGAGAAGACATCCTAAGAGCCAGGGCCAAGACAGATTCCAGAGAGGAGGCAAGCACCGCCTGCCTACACACGAGCTGGGAAGCATCAAACAGGGAAACCGCCTCCTGCAAGATCAGCGCAAAAAGCTTCAATAAGACAGCTGACAAGCGGACCACCAAGCCCAAGGCACCGGACCCTGGAGTGGCCCCAAGCGTCCCCACATCCTCTGCAAGCCAGTCCGAAGACAGCTCCAGGAGAGAAGAGAAATGCAAGGCCGAAGCCAAAAGGCCACGGGCACGCAAGTCCTCAGCAACCTGCATTGCCGAAAGGGACGGAACCGGCACATGAAGCTGCAGAACGCTAATATCCCAAGGGAAGGGCCGGGGCAAACAAACACTCACCTCCAGAAGGACGGAATCGACACACCTGGGAGGACACGGAACCGAACCCGGGGAGGGGTAGACACCAAATCCAACTCTTACGGAGAGGGGGGGATAAGAGACCCCCACCCCTTGTAACAGTAAGCCCCACTCAGAGGGCAGAAAAACCCAGGCGGGGTCCAGCGGGGCCCAAGGCCCCCAAGTCAGCCCCTCCCCAGCCCCAAGATCCTCCTCCACAGAACCAGGGGCCAAGTCATCCCCCAACGCACCGGCCTCAAAAGAAAAAGCCAGTGCAGCTGCGTAAGCCAGATGGAAGGGAGCCCACTGGTCAGACCCAGAGGCTGCGGCAGGGGAATCGGACTCGGATGCCTCCGTTGCCACACCGGAAGGGACATCCCTCGAAACTGCCCGAATCTCGAGACCATCTAAACCCTGCCCCGAATCCGAAACCCTCAGACGCTTCGGGGCCGGAAGTAGAGGGGGAGGGGACCAGGAGGCACCACTTCGACCAGGACAAGGGGGGCCAGACTGAACCAAAGTCAAAGCGACCCCCACCCCCAAGTTCGGGTCCCTATAAGCAAAACGGGGCAGCCTCGGAGCATCCGAGTGAGCAACCAACCGAGCGCGTTGCAACAACCTAAAGTGCACATGCAACGCCTGCGCCACCTGTACCCGTAAAAGATCATCATTAGACTGGATAAACTGAGTCACAAGCAAGCAACAGAACTCGCAGGACTGCGAGTTCTGTTGCTTGCAGAACAACGGGTCGAAAGTGTCACCAACCCAACAAGCAGTGTGACGGAGGCAATAACAGTGAGTCACACTGAGACAGGGAGACAGAGTAACCCTCAAACTCGCACGAAGCGAGTGGGGACTCCGGGGTCACATCCATCAGACCCACGCACCCCCGATTGGTTTCCCAGGGGCCTGAGAAAGTACACATGCTCAGCGAATCCCAGACAGGGTACTGCTAACCGGCGCCCAATACTAGCAATCAACTGTCTAAACCTGAACCCCAGGGACATGAACACTCACAAGGACCTAGCTGGGGGAAGCACCACCAGAAGAACTGTATCAGGTCATACACCAAGGGGCAAACAAGGCAGACCGCCCTACAAGGTAAAAACAAAAAGAAAACCAAAACCCCGCAAGAGGACAACGTACCCCAGGGAACAGAGCTGGCCGCTTTGAATGGTGAAAACAAGCTGCGCAGCACCCTGCGCCCCGTACCAGTGCAAACTGCCTCTTACACTAAGGTAAACAAGGGAGACAAGACACCCAATCGCCCAAAAGGCGGCTGAAAAAACGAGCAGTTAAATAGCCCAACAGAGCCAGGACCCAAGGAACTTGAGGAAGGTAACCCCAAGCCCCAAGGGCAGTACTTACATATCACCTAGGGAAGGTAACCCTAGGCGCATGCAGCTCGAGTACTGTAGAATAACTCCTGGCTCTTGCACCCCTGGAAGACAGCCACCACACTCAAAGCACAGTGCTGAAAAACCACTGGAACCAGAGAACACGACCTCTGCCTCTAGCATCAGCCTTAGAACTGACGGGTGGATAGTCGGCGTAAGGGGTTTAGGACTCCCCCTTTCCCGGGAGGGGAAAGGGGGAGCTGCGCAGACAGTGGCGAGGCGACGTGTGACGTCAAGCTCATTTTCTCATTTTTTTGGGGCGGGAGTTCTATCCACTTGTTCAGCTTTTGGTAGCAAATTTTACCAGAATAGGGGTTTGTTTTGGGATGCTTACCTTTCTGGGTGCCTGATCCGGTCGATGGCAGACATAGAATGCTTCACCCACACGGGGGTTTTTATAGACCACTGCTCCCCATGCCTCTCTGAGGGGGGGCCAGGTTCTGGCTCGTGGTCCTTGGTAGGCCCACAGAACTCCATACACATGACTGATGCCAAAGTCTGACATTAGCATATAAGCCTCGATAAGCTCCGGGGAGTCGAAGGGGCTAACCCCAGAAAAGAGCCACATGTGGAGAGCAAACCCAACGGGACTCGAGTTTTAAAGTGTCACTGACCCAACAGGCAGAAGGCATAAACACCGCCATGTGGCGCGATCGACGAACAACCCTCAAATTCACACGAAGAGAGAACAGGTTCATGGGGAATATCCACAGAACCACTGAACCTGCAGGGCCTGAAGGGTAAACTCAAGCAGGACACCCAAGGAGTGGGATTGCTACACCGGACCTAAAAGTAAGCCGAGACAACTTGGGCTGTGAAGTCCGACCTCGGTGTGTTGCGAGAAGCACGAAAACCGCCAGTACGCCTCACCAGCCAAAGTTTCTCCCAAACCAAATTATGACAGGAACGTCCCAAGACACCCGACTTACCCTGGGAGAGAGCCACCACAAGCGAGGAGCAACTCCTAAACACTCCAGGAAAGATAACCCTGGTCATGCAAGGGCAGCACTAGGAAAGGTAACCCTGTGCACATGCAGCTCCAAACACACTCAAAACCCAAAAATAAATTTCACCACTCCCTGTGCCTCTTTGAGTGGGGCAAGTTCTAGCAGTAGTCCCCGGTAGGCCCATAGAACTCTGCAGCTCATGTGACCTACTAGATGGTACCAATATCAGAATACAGTAGCTTCAGGTAGCCACAAGGTGGCTCCCCCAGAAAAATAAATTTAACAACCCAACATTTTTAACATTTTTTTTTTCCAGGGATATTCCTGCGCAGGCCCTAAGCCTCTGGCTGGCCCACTAGGTGTTGCTTGTCTGTTTTACTTGGGCGCAGTATGAGTATTAATGACTCGTATGGTCGCTTCAGTAAGATTTTGTCGCATGTTACTGTATCTATTGTGATGATCGTCAACAGTCACAAATTCTTACATACTTAGTGTTTAGATTTTTTTTTTTTTGAGATATATACAAGAGTTGTTACATTCTTGTACAGCCACTAGTACGCATAGCGTTTCGGGCAGGTCCCTGGAATACGATCCCCGCCGCGAAGAATCGTTTTTTCATCCAAGTACACATTTTACTGTTGCGTTAAACAGAGGCTACAGTTAAGGAATTGCGCCCAGTAAATCCTCCCCGGCCAGAATACGAACCCATGACATAGCGCTCGCGGAACGCCAGGCGAGTGTCTTACCACTACACCACGGAGACTGTAAAGGCACCTTTTTTTTTTCTAGGCACCTAGAAAAGTAAGCATAACAAAAACCCCTCTTGATACAAAAATTGCAACCGATAATATTATACTGACTAGTAAGGAATTCTTTTTAAAATAAATGAAGCTAAAACACAAACTTAAATATTCCTTGGCCTAGTATGGCAAACATATGTACTATATTAGGCCTCAGATATAGTGTAATAATCCTAGGGAGGTTAGGATAGGTTAGTTTAATTTGTCAAAGCAACACAAGTAAAAAATTGTTTTCCGGTTTGTCCAACTCAATAGTTCTGAGTTCTACATTCTAATTTTGTTGCACATCGGTATACAGACTATGGTCCTCATCGTTACTATAAGTACTGTACTACTAAAACAGGAGGATGGGCTGAAATTTAACATCATTAGACGAGAGGTTAGACAACAGATGATATGATCACAACATACAAAATACTGACATGAATAGATGAAGTGGAGAGAGAGTCATTTGATATGAATGAAAGCAGAATAAGGGCGAGCAAAATAAAATTATAAACACACGTCAGAAATTTACTTAAATACTTTTATGCAGAAGGCAGGTTAAGAAGTAGAATGAGTTTGAACCAGTGGTGGTAGAAGCATCCCACTATTTACAATTTCAAGAATAAATATGAAAGAATAATGGCATTCATCTCCAGCAGCAGAACTGTCCAGTTATGGAAATTTATTCAGTGACAAGTCTGAAGCTGTGTCAGTAAATATGGAAATAAAAGAAAATATCAGCAACAACATCCAAGAATATTTTGCTGGCCCACTAACCGTCATTGGTCTCCCCTACAGCTGCATACAGATCTGACGAGTGCTGTGATTGTGTGCGCTCTACAGTGCACTCAAGTGATGCTGGGTCAGGCTCAGCACTTAGAGGAATTGCTGGAAGTTCTCGCTTCAGTGTACACCTAAAATTATACACAAATGGTAAACGAGCAAAACAATGGCACATAAATATAATTCATGCAAATATTTGACATGCATTGCAATTTAATAAGTTAAGAAATCATTCAAATTAGACAAAAATTAATCAAACTTGGATTATAAAATCTCCATTTGTGGTAATGGAAGATATGATCACTATGTACAAAATAGTAACAGGAACTGACACAGTTGACAAGAAAGAGTTTTAAAACATGCAACTTCAAGAACAAGAGGGCCACAGATTCACCTTAAGGAAACAAAGGTGCCAATAAATGAAATGCAAGTTCTCTTTTGCAAACAGAGTTGTAGTCAGCTGGAACATCACTGTGATCACCTCTGTGGTTGGGGGTATTCCTTGTCTGCCATCAACGGGGTTTAGGCACCTAGAAAAGTAGGCATAACAAAAACCCCTCTTGATACAAAAATTGCAACCGAAAACTGAGCAGAGAGGCAGAACTCCCCCAACTCTCAAGGAAACAAGCAAACGTCACACCACTGCTGCCATGCTGCTTGCAGCCCCGGACCCCCCATGCCAGCTACTCACACACCCCAGTTCGGAGGCTGAGTATCAAAAGCAAAACGAAACTGCCAACCGGAGGGAGGGAGGGAGGGTGCCAGGTAGCCTCCGGAGGTTACCTAGCATTTCATTACATTCAACACAGGTTTTCTGAGGGGAGCCCCTTCAGCTCCCTGGAGCTACAAACCCAAGATAAGTAGAAAAGGGACTTACCTGGGAGGCAGCCACCATGTGCTCCTCAACTCGAAGTCAGGACAACAGGCTGCAACCTGCGACCCAAAGTCACACACGAACACCCAGGACCAGGAATGTTTACCATATAATGGGCGGCCTGGACCCTGTTCGACCTCCAAAATACACGTCCGAATGTCAGCAAAAGACATGTTGCCGAAGACAACAGCCAAAGCAGCAAATGTAGGAACATCATGAGCACGAGGATAGACCGCAGACTGGCTAGACTTAATAAATAACCCTGCAGATGACCTGGAAGACCTGAGGCCTGGAACAGGGAATGAGGAAAACCGAATCAACCGAAAGCGCTTCCCCGGCCACGGAGAACGAGGTGAACAGATAACGGCGAAGAGCCGCAACAGGACACAACACATGATGCATCTCCAGCCTGACCAACCAAGCATCAATGAGCCAAGGGTCCCTCCTGAAAGTCGCTGTCTCGTTCATCGCCAGAAAAGGAAATGACTGCAATCCAACAAACCGACCATCAGGACCGAAAGAGCAGAAATCCCTGCGCCAGACGAGAGCATGAAGCTCACCAACCCGACACCCAGAGGGCAATGGCAACAGAAACAGAGCCTTGGAAAAAAAATCTTGAACCGAAGGGGCCATCACAAACCGAGGAGAAAAAAAAGAGAGCACCTGGTCCAAGGATCAGGATGACCAGACGCAAAGAGCAGAGGAGTAGACTGAACCTGCCACGTACCGGACCGGCCCAATCTGCTGAAAGAGACGGAGCCACAGAAAATGTCCCAGGTACAGACACCAAGCTTGCAGCGCCTGAAACCGAGGCTGGGCCGGCCACCTAGGGGCCACTAGGACAACTCTCCCACAGTAGACTCCAACTGAGCCAGAACCCGAAGCAACAGCTGGACCGGACAAAAGAGGTACTGTACAGGTAACCCCAGCTCAACCAGTCCTGCCAAAACGTGTCCACCATGATGGCTCCAGAGTTGGGGAAGGACGCCACACACATATCGGGAGACACCTCGACCACGCCGACACGAAGAGGTCCACCTCCGGGAGCCCGTACGTCAGGTAGAGCCAACTGTAGGAGATGCCGTCAACTGTCCATTCCATGGACAGGGGAATGAACTGTGACAGGCTGTCTGCCAGAACATTGGACACTCCCCGAATATGAACTGCACGGAGAGCCAAACCCAGAGAAACCTGCAGACGAGCCACTCAAAGCGACCAGCCCCAAAGAGCCAAGAACCAAAGAGAACATCCCCGTGGTTCAGGCAATGAACCACCGGACAGCAGTCCAAATGGAACTGGATCGTGGGACCCCGAGTGACCCAAACCCTCCGAAGTGACAGCTAAACAACTGCAAACTCCTGCACTGTGCTGTGAGCCTGACAGAAGGACAGACCCCACCGTCCCTGGCTGGCCTGGTGAGCACTGGTCACAAAGCCCCAGCTGAGAGACGACGTATCTGTGAACGCATCGAGCACGGGCTCGGGTAGGCGCCAAAGCACTGAACCCCGAAAAACCTGAAAAGGAATCCAGCAACACAGCAACTGACGCGAGGCCCACTGGAGCCAAACCCAGCAATTGCGAGAGAGGCAGAAAGGGTGTCCCCCAAAGGAACAAGAACAAAACACGAAGCCAAACCCGACCCAGCGGGTAAACCAGCACGGCGAAGTTCAGACACCCACACAACTGCTCGAGCAACTGCCGAGTGACCCAGGACCCCCTCAGAAACAGCTGAAGGGGGGATTGCAGCCGCAGCAATGCTTCCGGAGGGAGAGACATGGAAGCGGTCCGAGAGTCCCGAACGAGACCCAGCCAGGTCCAAACCTGGGACGAAACGAGATAGGACTTCCTCCAGTTCACCAGGAAGAACTGGAGGAAGAACTTCCTCCAGTTTCTGAGCCGGTGACAACGCCGGCTCAGAAACTGACACCAATGGCCCATCCCGACCGAAGGAACCCCGAGCCCTGGCATGACCCTTCTGAGAAGGCCGAGAATGGCCTTCTCAGAAAGGTCTGAAAAGGGTCTGAGAATGACAACTAGACAAAGCCACCTACAGAAACTGCATGACAGCAGTCTCTTCGAATAGCAACAAGCAAAAGGGAGATGAAAAGCTAAGAGCCAGGGCCCAAGCAGATTCCACAGAGAGCGCGAGCACAGCCTGCCAGCACACGAAGCAAGAAGCAAAGAACAGAGACGCTGCTTCTCTGAGAATGGGCGCAAACAACTTGAACAGTGTGGCCAACATCTGGGCCGCCGAGGCCAGTACACCAGACGAAGGCCTGGCACTAAACGCCTCCACATCCTCTCCAAGCCAGTCCAAAGACAGCTCGAGAAGGGAAAATAAGCGCAAGACCGAAGTCAAATGCCCCCACATGCATGTGAATCTTCAGCTACCAGAGACACTGAAAGGGTGAGAACCTGCACATGCAGTTGCACAAGGCCAACATCCCGAGGACGCACAGGAGCAAACAAGCACGTGTTAAGGTGCTCAAACTCACCCCCTAGGTAAACCTGCAGAACGGTAGCAGCCTCCCGCCATTCAAGCGTGTGAGACTGACAAAACCCATGCCACGCCCCCAGCAAAAAGAATGAGCAGTATGCCAGCCAGGAAGACTCTAGAACCTCATAACACACCCAGTACAGTGAAAAAGAACCAAACTCAAATGAGGATGGATCCATCACAGAGGCAGAATCTGGGTCTCGTAGGAGGTACGCAGCAAGAGCCTCCCGAATTTCCTTAGGTGAGATTCGAGAGGCAGAAAAACTACACTGATGTTGCTAAGATGCAGCCAACTCAAATGGCTCTAAAGTTTCCAGACACCAGCTAGGACACAAACACTAGCCACCCAGCCAATGTACTGACAACCCAACATACAACACACACACACGCCAACCCATGGTGGACAGGCCACCAAAGTTTCAAACCACCTCTCTCTTTATACCACATCCTCTTCCAGAATTTCACCTCCCCATCCCTCTACCTTCCCCATCCTTTCCAAACCCCTTGGAAATCAAAGCGAAAGCGAACCTTTGGAATGAAGGAGCCGAGGAACCCAAGGAAATCCGGAACCAAACCCGGGGAGGAGCCGGCCCTAATTCATGTTCATACATGGAAGGGGGTAAGAAAACCCCTCCCCCTGCAACAACAAACACTGCAAAGAGGGCACTAAAACCCAAGTGGGATCAAAGGGGGCCCAAGCCCCCTAGGTCAACTCCATCCCTGCCCCAGGATCCTCTAAACCAGGACCCAGAGCAGAGCCGTCCTCCACACCCTCTACCCCTGAAGAAAAGGCAGAAAAGAAGGGGTCTTCGGGTGGGACCCAGAAGCCTCGGCAGGAGGAGGCTCGAATGCCTCAATCCTAAACACGGATGGGGCAGCCCCCAAAACCGCCCAAGTCTCATCACCAACTAAACCCTGCCCCGACTCTGAAACCCTCAGAAGTTTGGGAGCCGGGAGCAGGAGGGAAGGGGAGCAGGGCAAACACCACCAACCAGAGAAGGATGGGGTAGCATGGACTGAACCAAAGTCAAAACGACTAACGCCCCCCAAGTCTGGGTCCCTATAACCAAAACGGGGCAGCCTCGGAGCATCCGGATAGGCAACCAGCCTAGCGTGTTGCAGCAACCTAAACTGAGCATGCAACGTAGAAGCTGCCTGTACCCGAACCTCAATATCTACAGAATGGGTAAATTAGAGCACGAACAGAGAACACATCTTGCAAGACTCCTGCATCCCCTTGTGATTTGTGTACAATTACAGGAGGCCTAGCAGCCACCAAAATATCACAAGTGGACCAACAGCAGAACAAGGCAGATCCCCACCAGGCAAAGAAAATAAAAATAAAACCCCTCAAAAGCACAATGTCCTCAGAGGAAACAGGAACACAGCCGCTGCGTAGGTAAGCAAGCTGTGCAACACCTTGTGCCCTAACCAGCAACAATACCACTTCCTACCCAAGGCCATACAAAAGTCACGAAACCCCAGCTGTCCCCAAGGGCGGGGGTAACTGTCAAGCAGCACGAACCCCTACGGCCGTGGAGCCCCAAAGGCTCTATGGAAGAGAACCCAAGCACCCAGGGGTAGTACTTACAGGGCACTTAGAGAAGGTAGCCCAAAGCACATACAGCCCCCAGTACACTGATGTTACACCTGGCCACCACCACCACCACCACCACCACCACCACCACAACACAGCAAGAACACCCCTAAGGCAAAACACTGCCAAGAAATCGAGGCCAGAGTTGACGACTGGCCCAGATCGCATTAGCCAAAGAACTGGGGTGTGAGGGTAGCCGGTATGGGGGGGTCTGGGGCTCCCCCTCTCTCTCCCAGGGAGGGGAGGGCTGCACGGGCAAGTGGCACAGCGGCGGTGGTATGATGTTTGTTTGTTTTCTTGAGAGTTGGGGAAGTTCTGCCCCCTGTTCGGTATTTGGTTGCAATTTTAATACCAAGTGGGGTTTGTTTCATGCCTACCTTTCTAGGTGCCTAAACCCCATTGATGGCAGACAAGGAATACCCCTAACCACAGTGGAGTTTCCAGAGGCCATTGCTCCCTTGCCTCTCTGAGGAGGGCCAAGTTTTGATTTGTGGTCCCCGGTAGGCTAAACTCCGTTGACTAATGCCCTAGACTAAAATATCGCATATCAGTCCAATAGCTCCAGGGAGCTGAAGGGGCTCCTCACAGAAAAGGCATGAGGAAACAAGTTGAACTGTGTCAAGGAGGCATTAATGTTGAACGCAAGCAACAGTGGCTCTGCCAATGCCAGGCAATAAGAGGTAACAGAATTAGGCATGAGATGCCACTCGAGAAACAATCAAGACAAAAAGAACAGGACAACCCTGACCTAGATCTAAGAATGATGATGAAGAGAGACAGTGATGAAAACAACTGCCAGGCACTCATACTACTACTGCTGCAAGGAAAAACACAGGTGGGACACCAAACCAGCCATCTGCTCGACTTGCAAATGGTGATAGACCAATGTCAAAAGCTCTAGACAAGTAGAGCACAGGAGATGGCCAAACCAGCAAAATACATTGTCGGGCCAATCTGCTGAAAACAGCGGAGACATAGGAAAAACCTGGGGTTGAACACCAGGCGAGAAGCACCAGGAAACCAATGTTGGACAAACCACCAAGAAGCCAGAAGGATCACCCTCTCCAAGAGTGACACTAGACTGGGCAAAGCCCCTGGACAACATCTGAACCAGGGAAAAGGTAAATGAACCTCTACCTCGACCAATCTAGTCATAAGGCATCCACTGCAAGAGCCTGGAAATTGGGGAACAGAGCCACATAGGAGGGAAGATGCAAGCTCCATGCGCCAATTTGAAGAGGTCCACCTCAAGGCAACCAAAAGTTTAGCAGAGCCAACAGGACGCATTGTCGATGGTCCATTCTATGGAAATGGAACGGAAGTGAGATAACCCATCCATGAAAATGCTGGCCATACAAGAACCAAACCACAAGAATTCAAAGCTCAACTGCTGAGAGCATCCAGCTCCACAGGGCAACGGACCAAAGCAACCCTCCTCGGTTCATGCAAAGAACCACCGGGAAGCAGTCGGAGTAGAACCAGAACACAGAAAAAGCTGAATCCACCACAGAGCATGCCATACAGTCACAAACACTGCACTGTGCACTCAAACAAACCCAACCACTAACCCTGGGCAGTCTGGTGAATGCTAGTCACAAAGCCCCAACCCTGAGCCAAGGCATACATGAGCACATTGAGCAACTGGGGGAGGATAGTGCCATCAATGTGGATGGGACTACCCCCAGAGAAGGCCGAGTTACACCCTGAGCTAAATCTTGACGAAACCCACAGGGAAAGGAAGAGGACTTAGTCACGAACACCTTCAATTTCAGGTCCCCAACCAGACAATAATATGCTTTGAATACCTAGCTCGAGCAAACTTAGCTCACAAAGCGGCAGATGCTTGAAAAGCTTCCGAAGCTGAATCAGTAATGACAGGGATTCAGTGAGAACAAACCTCACAGGACTCAGGGCCGTAGGTGTCACCGACGAAGCAGGCAGCATGGTAGGGGCAAAAGCAATGATCATCAGGTAGCAAAGATGATGAACACGCAGCAAGCTCAAACTCAGGCTCGGTGGACTGATCCATAATGAAGCACACCAGAGACCTGCAAGGGAAATACCAGGGCCCGAAGGCTGATAACCTGGCAGGAACCCCGGGCACCCGGGGAGGTCGCCAGAAGAACAGACACCAAATGCAGTCAAGACAAGCAGGCTACGAATGGCAATCTTGGTGCACCACATAAACAAACACGTGAACCCCAATGTGCTCCAGCACAACAAAATGAACATACCTGCCAATGGCCCAAACAGAGGAGTCAAAGATCCTTGAACAGACTAAGACCAGGTTCTCAACCCCAGTTCACCTGGACTCTCGGGCAAAGTCCCCAACACACCAAAGGCGGTAACTCTGCCAGTGCAGAGGTAGTGCTGGAATGCACCCCAGAGAAAACCCTGAACACATGCAGCCTGAAATGCTACAAAAGCCAAGCCCACACAACAAGCCGCAGAGAAAACAGGCCCATGGCCCCTGCAGGACGAATGAAGTCCAAGGATAATCAGCACTCTCCACGACTAGCAGCCCAGAGCTCTTCAGGAAGCAGTTGCCTATAAAACATCAGCAACAGAACTGAGTAAGGGAATCAGCTGAGGGCAGGGGTCAGCCCACCTGGTGGTGGCAATTGGTACTAGAGTGTTTCAAGTTTGTTTTAATGAATCTCTTGTTCAGTGTGAATTGTTTGTTTGGCACTTTGATGTTTCATTTTTTGTGACCCTTCCAGTTGTCTATAAAGCTTCACTTTATACAAAAGTAGTAACAAAGTAGCTAACAAAGCTACTTTCCTTAACACTTTCGCGCTCCGTGGAAACTCGCGGTTGACAGGGGGTAGGTAGCCCCTCCGTGCGGGTAAGCGCGCGGTGACACCCAAATGTGTATACTCGTTCCAGCTTTCTCGCCTTAATTCTCGTGCTACGTCGCTCGTTTTGGTATCATTGTGTTCGCAATTAAATTCTCTACAGGAGTGTATAAATATAATGTCCAAAAGCCTAGTGTGACTCCCAACAGCAAAGCGTAAAGTCGGCAAAAACGCACAAAATTAGTAACATGTGCATTCTCGTTCCATTTTTTTACCTTAATTCTCGTGCTACGTCGCTCGTTTTGGTATCATTGTGTTCGCAATTAAATTCCCTACAGATGTGTATGAATAAAATGTACAAAAGGCTGGAGTGCCTCCCCGCAGAAAAGCCTAAAGTTACCCGTGAACGAGCACCATTTTGTACATTGCAACCTAATGTTCAACTCGTTCAATTTGATAACATCAAATTTCGTGCTACGTCGCTCATTTTGGTATCAAATTGTTCACAATAAAATGGCGATTATTTTAAAACTAGTCCCAGAATAATAGAGCAATAACTGGATTTTTAACAAATATTTTAATTCTGGACGCTCATCATCACAAATTTATTTATATCTTTCCAGTGTTCTGACATAAATATTTGTGTTACATCTTTCATTTTGGTATCAAATTGTTCGCAATAAAAAGGCGCACATTTTAAAACAAGTCCCAAGATAATAGGACAATAAATAGAATTTTAACAAATATTTTAATATTCGGACCATAGGCCTATTTATAATATTTCAAGTGTTTGGACATCAAGTTTCATGTTATATCTTTGATTTTGGTATCAAATTGTGTGCAATCTAAAGGCGCTTATTTTAAAACCACTACCAGATTGATCTGATAAAATTTAAATTTTTAAAAAATATTGTAATGAGTGACTCAGTATTGCGTCGTTGGAACCCATTCAGTAGAAAAATGAGTGACGAGATAGTCAGTCTGTGGAATGCGAAAGTGTTAATATGAGAAAATAAGAACTATATCCACGAAGGATATTACATACCTGCTTGATGCCTCTGAGGCCTCGTCACTTGCTCTAGGCGTATTGGATCCATTGATGCGGGGATAACTGCCCAGCCCATTCTCGCCACCATCATGACACACCTTTACTGTCGTTATTCCTTGCGTCAGCTCAAATTCATCATACCTAGAATTATACAGCATTAACAAAGTTTATCAGCTAATTTGTCATTACGTACTGCATACACCTCCCAACAAATCAAAGCAGTTTCAATATCAAGTAATACAGATGTATAGAGTCCTTTGCCATGCCAGAGGAGCAGATGTATACAGTCATCTACCATGCCAGAGGAGCAGGTGTATACAGTCCTCTACCATGCCAGAATAGCAGGTGTGTACAGTCATCTACCATGCCAGAGGAGCAGATGTATGCAGTCCTCTACCATGCCAGAGGAGCAGATGTATACAGTCATCTACCATGCCAGAGGAGCAGATGTATACAGTCATCTACCATGCCAGAGGAGCAGATGTATACAGTCCTCTACCATGCCAGAGGAGCAGATGTATACAGTCCTCTACCATGCCAGAAGAGCAGGTGTATACAGTCCTCTACCATGCCAGAGGAGCAGGTGTATACAGTCATCTACCATGCCAGAGGAGCAGGTGTATACAGTCATCTACCATGCCAGAGGAGCAGATGTATACAGTCATCTACCATGCCAGAGGAGCAGATGTATACAGTCATCTACCATGCCAGAGGAGCAGATGTGTACAGTCATCTACCATGCCAGAGGAGCAGATGTGTACAGTCATCTACCATGCCAGAGGAGCAGGTGTATACAGTCATCTACCATGCCAGAGGAGCAGATGTATACAGTCATCTACCATGCCAGAGGAGCAGATGTGCACAGTCATCTACCATGCCAGAGGAGCAGATGTATACAGTCATCTACCATGCCAGAGGAGCAGGTGTATACAGTCATCTACCATGCCAGAGGAGCAGATGTATGCAGTCCTCTACCATGCCAGAGGAGCAGATGTATACAGTCATCTACCATGCCAGAGGAGCAGATGTATACAGTCCTCTACCATGCCAGAGGAGCAGATGTGTACAGTCATCTACCATGCCAGAGGAGCAGGTGTATACAGTCATCTACCATGCCAGAGGAGCAGGTGTATACAGTCCTCTACAATGCCAGAGGAGCAGATGTGTACAGTCATCTACCATGCCAGAGGAGCAGATGTATGCAGTCCTCTACCATGCCAGAGGAGCAAGTGTGTACAGTCCTCTACCATATCAGATGAGCAGATGTATACAGTCCTCTACCATGCCAGAGGAGCAGATGTGTACAGTCATCTACCATGCCAGAGGAGCACGTGTATACAGTCATCTACCATGCCAGAGGAGCAGGTGTATACAGTCCTCTACAATGCCAGAGGAGCAGATGTGTACAGTCATCTACCATGCCAGAGGAGCAGATGTATGCAGTCCTCTACCATGCCAGAGGAGCAGGTGTATACAGTCCTCTACCATGCCAGAGGAGCCGATGTATGCAGTCCTCTACCATGCCAGAGGAGCCGATGTATGCAGTCCTCTACCATGCCAGAGGAGCAGGTGTATGCAGTCCTCTACCATGCCAGAGGAGCAGGTGTACACAGTGTCACAGTAAAATCTCTAGGAACTCTAGGAAAATCTCTAAGACTCTAGGAAGAGATTCGGCCTACTCCATTATCACCTATTCTACTCATTCACGTCTATGTAATCAAGAACTGCAGCCAAGAACAACAACAACAACTACTGCCAGAGGTCTAGACAGTACTACCAGTCTCCCCCCCTTCACCACGGCCCATCACCCCCCCTTCACCACGGCCCATCACCCCACCTCGCACCTGGGTCGGTGGGAGGCCACGCCCTCCCAAACAAGCAGTTTAAATGAGCCGGTTCATAGTTAAAGAAGCCATCAGCGCCATCTGCCCGGCCGATATTCTGTATAAATAGGGCTACCAAGCTCTCCAAGATTCAGATTACTCGTGAGTGCTCTTGCTGAGTAGACCTGTTGACATACCCCAGTGTGGTAACAGAGCTATTCAGTTTGACTCAAACTATTCCTCATCATATTTTCTAGTATTAACGTAACGTAAATGTAATTGTCTGTTTATCTTGTGTACTTTGCACTCTGTATAAAGCCAAATTTAATAACATTTTTATTTTGTAATTTGTTTAAAGTAAGATTTCTATTAAAGTATTTTTAAATATTTGTTCTGTATGTTTTCTCCTACAGTTAACCTCACAGTGAAGACAACTTGCAGTTTAACTTTTTTTTTACTTTAATTTTTAATTTTGTGACAGGCATTCCATCTGCCGAGAGAAGACTGCAATAACACCTATTTTTTACCGTCACAACAGTCATCTACCATGCCAGAGGAGCAGATGTATACAGTCATCTACCATGCCAGAGGAGCAGATGTATACAGTCATCTACCATGCCAGAGGAGCAGATGTATACAGTCATCTACCATGCCAGAGGAGCAGATGTATGCAGTCATCTACCATGCCAGAGGAGCAGATGTATGCAGTCATCTACCATGCCAGAGGAGCAGATGTATACAGTCATCTACCATGCCAGAGGAGCAGATGTATGCAGTCATCTACCATGCCAGAGGAGCAGGTGTGTACAGTCATCTACCATGCCAGAGGAGCAGATGTATACAGTCATCTACCATGCCAGAGGAGCAGATGTATACAGTCATCTACCATGCCAGAGGAGCAGATGTATGCAGTCATCTACCATGCCAGAGGAGCAGATGTATACAGTCATCTACCATGCCAGAGGAGCAGATGTATACAGTCATCTACCATGCCAGAGGAGCAGATGTATGCAGTCATCTACCATGCCAGAGGAGCAGGTATACAGTCATCTACCATGCCAGAGGAGCAGATGTATACAGTCATCTACCATGCCAGAGGAGCAGATGTATGCAGGTGTGTCATCTACCATGCCAGAGGAGCAGGTGTGTACAGTCATCTACCATGCCAGAGGAGCAGATGTATGCAGTCATCTACTATGCCAGAGGAGCAGGTGTGTACAGTCATCTACCATGCCAGAGGAGCAGGTGTGTACAGTCCTCTACCATGCCAGAGGAGCAGATGTATGCAGTCATCTACCATGCCAGAGGAGCAGATGTATACAGTCATCTACCATGCCAGAGGAGCAGATGTATGCAGTCATCTACCATGCCAGAGGAGCAGGTGTATGCAGTCCTCTACCATGCCAGAGGAGCAGGTGTGTACAGTCCTCTACCATGCCAGAGGAGCAGATGTATGCAGTCCTCTACCATGCCAGAGGAGCAGGTGTGTACAGTCCTCTACCATGCCAGAGGTGCAGGTGTATATCTGGACTGTAGCATTCTGGGACGACTTTCTCCACAAGCCCAGCCCAGGGGCAGGCTTGACTAGTGAGAGGTTGGTACACCAGGTTGTTGCTTGGAGCGACCCGCAGGACCACATATAAACTACAGTCCAGTTGGTACGGCATTTCGTGCAGGAACATGTATAATTATCCTTGAAAGCTTCCACTTTTGTTACGGTAATATTTCTTATACTTGTTTGGAGGATACTGAACAACCATGGACATCTGATGTTTATACAGTGTTCTCTGATTGTGCCTACCGCACCTCTCCTCTTCACTGGCTCTATTCTGCATTTCCTTCTATATCATTCACTTCGGTATGTTATTTTACTGTGTAAATTTGGGAACTGGCTCCTCCAGTGCTTTCCATCTATTATTTGATACCTCGCTCGTCTCCTTTCTAGAGAGTACGTTTTGGGAGTTTAGAGTCGATTCCAATAATTTAGGTGTTTTATCGTGTCTAAGAAGGTTATCTTGAGGTTATATTGAGATGATTTCGGGGCTTAGCGTCCCCGCGGCCCGATCCTCGACCAGGCCTCCTTTTTGTTACACCCCCTGGAAGCAGCTCGTAGCAGCTGTTTAACTCCCAGGTACCTATTTACTGCTAGGTAACAGGGGCATCATGGTGGAAGAAACATTTTTGCCCATTTGTCTCCACCTCCACCGGGGATCGAACCCGGAACCTCAGGACTACGAATCCAAAGCGTTGTCCACCCAGCTGTCAGGCGCCCAAGTATGCCGTATGTGTGTTCTGTACTCCCTCTATTTCAGCAATCTCTCCTGCTCTGAAAGGTGGAAGTGAGTACCGACTAGTACTCAAGGTAAAACATTACCAGTGATTTGAATAGTATGAGCACTGCGATGGGATCCCTGGATTTGAGGGTTCTCATAATCCATCCTGTCATTTTTTCTATTTTACGCAATATTTGCTTGGCTATGCTCCCTAAAACATTAAGTTGTCTGACTGTGTGTGTAGCGACGTCTCTTAGTGCCTGAACGAACTATATCAGCTTAGTTGTACAGTTGTGGTGAACAAAACATATACATACTTATATATAATGTCGGTATATAGTGTAATAACAGTACAAACGGTATTGTTGGGGGAGAAAGTTTAGTGCATGTGACCTTGAATGAGTGAGGGAGCCGCCAGCTGACTGTGTGTGTGTAGCAACGTCTCTTAGTGCCTGAACTAACTATATCAGCTGTACAGTTGTGGTGAACAAAACATGTAGATACTTATATATAACGTCTGTATATTGTGAATAAAATATAAAACAGGATGGTGGGAGAAGAAAGTGGGCAAGTGAGGCGATGTTGAGGGAGTGGCAACGAGTGGCTGGCTGGTGTGTGGCGGTCACTCCTCATTGCTTTTCGACTCTCAATACCAACTTAGTGGTTCGTTATGGTGAACAAAACATGCAAATACTGTACTTATATATGACATGTGTATAGAGTGTAATAACAGCAAAACTATTTGCTTATTGTTTTATGAACATAATAATTGAATCACTAATATGCACACCATACTGTTGAGTATAGCAATTATTCACCACTTTTATTATATAAATATATCACAATACACTCTACTGAATAATATTACTGCAAAAAAACTAAGAAAAAATAAATCAGACATTGAAAAATTAAGTGATAATATCTTTGTGGCAACTCCCACCTGTTAGCGCGGATGACGCTGACCAGCTCTGACGACCGCTCTGTCAACGCCCCTTTTTGCCAGACTTCCTCGGTCTATTGTGCCCAAAATATGTCACCTACGATT